CGTAACATCCTGTGACCTGTATTCAAATACAGACAAGCCGCTCACCGATGCTGGAGTCCCTCCTGAACACGTCTCTGTCAAAGATGTAAAAGGACAGATGGCGGAAACTGCGTGGGATTTCACAATAAAAGTCCTCGCCGTAGAACGGACTGCAGTGGACAGAGACAGAGATATATTGTGGGTATTATTATAACAATTATAATTAGTTTTTCTGTTTTTAATTAAATGATTTTTCATTGTCAGATTGATACAATAATGCACAGGTGTTGTTGATGCACCTTATAAACACAGACACACACAGTGTGTTATTCTAACACATCTTCATATGTGCATGGTTAGTGCATGTATGTTTGTATACTCACCATAAAGACTTCTCTATGGTTTTGGTTCGAAACACTTCCTCCTGGTCCAGGTTGACTGTGCAGTAACAATCCCGCATTTTATTCGGACCCGGATATGGAGGGATGTTCTTTGCTTCACCTGCAGAGAGACAGACACTCATTTAGTCATTTGAGGCTGATGATTTATGCGTTTTGCAGCCATAATGAGATACAAGCAGTCATCAGATGGCTGAGACACATTTATTCTGACAGGGAAAAACAATTGCAAAAGGCAGAATTTTAACATCCCATCAGTGCCTCATTTGTAAGTTGCTTTAGATAACAGTGTCTGCTAAATGAATAAATGTACATTTAAACGTAAATGCTTCTGAAAAATTTGCATTCTTCCAGCGATGCATAAAATATGACCCACCTGGTGATGATGGTTCTATGTACATGAAATTATGTGATAACGTCACCTTTATCAAAAAGAAAACCTGGTTACTTTCGTTTGATGTAAATACGAGCACACCAGAAAGAGACATGTTGTTATTAGTAAAAAGAATATATTGTGTTTGCAATGTGCACTACAAGTAAAATGAACACTGAATATTAACACACAATAAAATCTACAAAATAATAACAGTGAAATATACTTTTAAATGACCAACAAAATTAAAGCCATCCTAATCAGAAACAAAAAAGAGCTGAGGCATTTCTTAACACTAAAGCTGTCTTTACACAGCCAAGTTAAGGCTGCTCTGAGCTAGCATAATGCCACTTAAAAGCCAGACTAAATTATGCCTACTCTGTGCCACCTCAGCCCCAAGGATCACAGTATACAGCTGTAATTGCTGTGTAAATGCATTTATGCCACCTCTGAACAGCATCAGATAGTCACTTAAATGCCACTTCAGAAGTGTGCAGTAGGGCTGTCAAAAAAAAACGAATTTCGAATATTCGTCGAATTTAACATAAAAATTCACATTCGAATGCGAAAATATTGCATTCGAATTTTAGGTGTGCGTTAAGGAGGCAGCCTTATCAGTGGCGTACGAGATGCGATGACGATGTACAGTAAGTGTCATTGCATTATAATGTTTTTGTTAGCCTATCCAGTTGAAGCCACTAGATGCGGCGCTGCTGCGTTGTTCAAAAATATAGCAGAAAAAGAGAACATCAATGCGGAGAAGATCTTGTTTACATCAAAACCAGGCCGTTCACACAGAACGCATAGTTCATGCATTTTCTAGATGGACATCTATTACTGTTGCACTCGCGTCTCGCACAAAAGAGCCGTATGTTTAGAAAGCCATGTAAAATTAATGCAAGTTTAACTTTGAAAAAAACATATATCGAGACTTTATGGCGGGTTTTTCCCCATACCACTGCATCTCATGTTTTTAAATGAAAAATGTACTCTGTGTGATTGGCTTTCCGCCCTTTGTATTAAACTATGCATACATACATGATGCTGTTTTGTTTATAGTTGTTTAAGAAACTTAATTATAATTGGTTTATAAACATTATTTTAAACATTATGCACTTTTTTTCGCACATAGTCATGCTATTTTATGCTTTGAATGATGCGCCCTCTTGTGGCCTCAGGAGAGAAGCCAAAAGCTTGTCTTCACCCTAACTGAAATTATGCATTTTAAATTTGAATATAATTCGAATTTTGATAACATTTAAGTACAAAATTCTGATTTTGTTTTTCAGCCATTTTGACAGCCCTAGTGTGCAGTGTAAATTTGGCATAAGTAAAAAAAATTAAAAACAGGTGGAGAATCTGCAACCAAAATGCACCAGCATCCTCTCGCAATTATGCATTGTAAGTGCATGTACTCACGGTTTTCTATATTTTCACAAACACATCATTGCACACAAAAAAGCAGATGTAAGCCACTCTCTGGCTGCTGTGGGATCAGACACAAAACAATAGAGTGCAATATTCAGCGGCCGCAACGCAGAACTGGTGGGGCAGGGTGAGTTCAGTGCAAAAATCTGTGTGGGATCTGCAACCCAATACACACATCAGACACGTGAGCAGAGGAATGTTGTCAGCCCACACACATAAACGGACATGCGGCTGCAGCAGGAAGAATGCAACACTTTGGGAGGAAAGCGGTATGTGTTTCCACTGAGTGAACCGGTGTCCTGTTACGCTCTCGTCACCCCACTGACATGACTGAAGGTGTCAATCAATCTCAGCGCAAGTTTGTTTCCTGCTCCTGTGAAATAAAAGGGTTGTTGTAAGCATACAATGCAGTTTTCATTTCACTGCATGCAATGCGAATACAAGTGCATGTGGAATATTGTGATCCTTCATAATGCCGATCAACTGGACTGCGATGAGTCACTAAGCAGATCAGAAGCACATCTGATACTGCAGACAGATGCTGGCGAGGTGCTGACGTGGTAAGCTGATCCATGCATGACATTCCGGATCTAGAAGCATCTCTGTTTCCTGTCCACTCCCTCCCAGCACACATAATCACTGTGTCCTGATTGGATTACAGCTCGCAGGTCACTCTGGAGACCACGGCACTGAGGGATTACTAAAGCTAGTACTAGTACTCATACTGATCAAACCTTAGGGCCCTATGATTTCCACAATGCATAAATCGTAGAATCAAGACATACAAATTTAATTTACAGTATAACGCAGAATCTCATGGAAATTTGGATGAATAAATCAAAAGGAGGACTGTACACTTAATTAAACCACGATATGGACCAGTGTCTGAAAATACTGAACCAAAAAAAAAAA